ATGCTTCTCAAGTTTAAACAATATAAGGAAGTGCTTGACACTGTGTCTAGCATGTGGTAAACAATAAATATTTTATTATCATATGCTAATTAAATGACAACTTTTAAAAGATTGTTAGGATAAACCAACTGAAATCTGGAGATAGCTCATTTTAAAAAGAGCCCTTCTTTTCTGGCCATGACTAATTTACATCCTTTAATTCAGGATGCTGACACTGCATTCTTAATGGCTCTGCTCTGTGAGGTGGAAAGTCTGACTTCAGCTCAACCTTCAGGTTGTTCATTACCCACTGTGGCATCAACAATCACAAATTAATCTAATCTTTAACTCACTGTCTTGGTTTCCTAAAGCTGCCGTAACAAACAGCCACAGACTTAATGGCTTAAAACAACACAAATTTATTATCTTACACAAGTCTCGCTGGGCTAAAAAGCAAGGTGTTGGTATCCCTTCTGGAGGTTTTAGGGAAGAATCCATTTCCTCACCTTTTCCAGTTTCTAGAGGGTGCCTGCATTCATTTGCTCGTAGCCCCCTTCCTCCATCTTCAAATTCAGGATAGTGTAGCATCTTCAAGTCCCTCTCTGACTCTGACTTTTCTGCCTCCCTCCTCCCTACTTAAGGATCCTTGTGATTACACTGAGCCCATCTGGATAATCCAGGATAATCTCTCCAAGTCAAAGTTAGTTAAGTAAGAAATTTAATTTTTCTCTGGCATGTAACCCAACATATTCATAGATTCTAGGCGTTGAAACATGGACATATTTGGGGGCCGTTATTCTGTCTACCACACTTATGTATGTTTTCAGAATAACTTCAACTGCCAGAGTCAGATGGGAACATTGATGTTATTTTGATAGCAAGAGAGTAAAGAAGATCTAGTCAGGGAGAACACAGCCTCTACAGGGAGGTGTGTGCAATGTGCATATTGGGCCAGTAATTTGTTTTGCTCCATTGGACAACAGAAGTCAAACCCAAAAGTACGGGGACAAAGAAAAAAAGCAAAATGAAAATAATGATTGTGGCCTCTGTATATTTCAAAAATTGATTCCTTTTAACGATGATAGCTACAAGTTCACTGTTATCTTAAAGACTATAAGTAATTTTTAAAAATATGCTTCATTCTTAAGGAACTGAACAACATAATAAACCCCAAACAAGCAGGAGGAATAATACACAAAGCAGAGATTAAAAAAAAACAAAACAGAAAACAGAAAAAAAAAATCAATAAAGCTAAGAGTTGGTTTTTTGAAAAGATCAACATAATTGACAAACCCCTTGTCTGAACTTAAAAAAAAAAAAAAAAGACTCAAAACCAGAAATGAAAGATGGAACATTAGAACCAATGCCACAGAAATAAAAAGGATTATAAAAAAATACTATGAACAGCTATATGCCAATAAAGTGGATAACCTTGAAGAAATGGATAAATTCCTAGAAACATACAACCTACCAAAACTGAGTATGAAGAAAGAGAAAACCCAAATAGACCTATAACTAGTATGGAGACTAAACCAGTAATCAAAAATCTTCCAGCAAAACTACTGGGTATTTACTCAAAAAATACAAAAAAATCAAAGGGATATATACACTCCCAAGTTTATTGCAGCATTATTTACAACAGCCAGTTATGGAAGCAGCCCAAGTATCCATCGATATATGAATGGATAAAGAAGATGTGGTATATATATACCATATGCAATGGAGTATTACTCATCCCTAAAAAGAAGAAAATCTTGCCATTTGCAACAAAGTGGATGGAGCCAGAGAGTATAATGCTAAGTGAAATAAGCTATAGAAAGACAAATACTGTATGATTTCACTCATATGTAGAATTTAAAAAACAGCAAATGAGCAAGGGGAAAAAAAGAGAGAGACAAACCAAGAAAGAGACTCTTAACTATAAAGAAAGAACTGACGGTTACCAGAGTGGAGATGGGTAAGGGGATGGATGAAAAAGGTGACAGGGACTAAAGAGTATACTTACTGTGATGAGCACAGAGTAACGTACAGAACTGTTGAATTGCTACATTGTAGCACCTAAAACTAATTTAACACTGTATGTTAACAATACTGGAATGTAAAATTTTAATTAAAAAAGAAAATCTCCCAGCAAAGAAAAGTCCTAGATCTAATAATAGCTTCACTGGTGAATTCTACCAAACACTTAAAGAGCTAACATTAATCCTTCTCAAACTTTTCCTGAAAAACTGGAGGAAAAACTTATTCATTCTGTGAAGCCACCAATACCCTGCCTGATACCAAAGCCAGCAAAGACACTACAAAAAAAACTACAGACCAACATCCCTTATGATCGATGATATAAAAATCCTCAACAAAATACTAGCAATATGAATTCAGCAGCATATTAAAAGGGTTATACACCATAAACAAGAGGGATTTATTCCTGGAATTCAAGGATGATTCAACCTATGAAAATTGACAAAGTAATACATCACACTAACGAATGAAGGAAAATAACTGAGTGACCATCTCAACTGTTGCAAAAAAAGAATCTGACAAAATTCAATACACTTTCATGATAAAACTCTCAAATTAGGTATAGATGGAAAGTACCTCAACATAATAAAGACCATATGTGAAAAGCCCACAGCTACCATCATACTCAAAATGGTGAAAGACCGAAAGCTTTTCCTCTAAGTTTAGAAACAAAACAAGGATGCTTGCTCTTACCACTTCTTTTCAACATACGTCATAGCCAGAACAATTAGGCAACAAAAAGAAAAGGCCTCCTAATTGAAAAGGAATAAGTAAAATTGTCTTTGTTCACAGATGACATGATCTCATATGCAAAAAACTCTAAAGATGAAAAAAAATGGTAGAGTAAGTGAATTCAGCAAAGTTGCAGTATACAGAATTAACACATGCAAAAATCAGTTGCATTTCAATACACTAACAGTGAATAATCCAAAAAGAAAACAATTCAATTTACAATAGCATCAGAAAGAATTAAACTTACAAATAAATCTAAACAAAAAGGTGAAAAACTTGTACACTGCAAACTACACACTTTTGTAAGAAGTTAAAGACACAAATAAATGGGAAGTTAGCCCATGTTCATGGATTAGAAAACTTATATATTTTTAAAACACCAATACTTCCAAAGCTATCTACAGATTCAATGCAATACCTATCAAAATCCCAATAGCATTTTTTGCAGAAACAGAAAAATCTACCCTGAAATTCGTATGGAATTTCAAAGAACCCCAAATAGCCAACCAATCCTGAAAAAGAACAAAGTTGGAAGACCATACTAGAGTTCCTCAGAGAAACTTAACCAATAGGAAAGAGATACATACCCACACATATACATATATACACACACACAGACGCATAGATAAGATTACAGGAATTGGCTCATGTGATTATGGAGGCCAAGAAGTCCAGGATCTGTCATCTGCCAAAGAACCAGAAAAGCCAGTGGTATAGTTCAGTATGAGTTTGAAGGCCCAAGAACTAGGAGTTCTGAGATCAGAAGGCAGGAACAGATGGATGTCTCAGCTCTCAGAGCACTAATTCATCCTTCCTTCCCACTTCTGTTCTACTCAAGGCCTCAGGGGATTGGATGATACCCAACTCACTGGTTAAGGTCATCTTCTTTACTCAGTCTCCTATTCAGATACTAATCTCTTCCAGAGACATCCTTATAGACACAGATATCTGGCCATCCCCTTAGCCCAGTTGACATATAAAATTAACCATCACAAGGACTCATACTTTCTGATTTCAAAACTTACTACAGGGGCACCTGGGTGGCTCAGACGGTTGGGCTTCTTGCCTTCAGCTCAGGTCATGATCTCCGGGTCCTGGGATCAAGACCCACATTGGGCTCCTGGCTGGCTCAGCGGAGAGCCTGCTTCTCCCTCTGCCTCTCCCCCTGCTTGTGTGCTCTCTCTCTCTCTCTCTCTCTCAAATGAATAAATAAAATCTTTAAAAAAAAAAAAAAAACTTACTACAAAACTACAAGTGTGGCAAGGATATGGAGAAATTGGAAACCCTGTACACTGTTGGTGGGACTGTAAAATGGCAGAGTGATATGGAAAACAGTATGGTTATTACTCAAAAAATTAAAAACAGAATTACTATAAGATCCAGCAATGCCGGGACACCTGGGTGGCTCAGTCAGTCAAGCATCTGCCTTCAGCTCAGGTCATGATCTCAGGGTCCTGGGATGGAGTACTGCATTGGGCTCCCTGCTGAGCAGGGAGCCTGCTTCTCCCTCTCCCTGCCACTCCCCCTGCTTGTTCTCTCTCCCTCTCTGACAAATAAACAAATAAAATCTTTAAAAAAAAAAAAAAAAGATCCAGCAATGCCACTTCTGGGTATATATCCAAAAGAACTGAAAGCAGCATCAGAGGTATTTACGCACCCACGTTCACTGCAGCATTACTCACAAAAGCCAAGAGGTAAAAGCAATTCAAGTGTTTATCAATGGATGAATAAATAAACAAAAAATGGTGTATCCATATGATGGAATATTATTCAGCCTTAAAAAGGAAGGAAATCCTGTCATATGCTACAACATGGATGACCACTGAAACCATTATGCTAAGTGAAAAAAACCGTCACAAAAGACACTGTATGATTCCACTTATATAAGACCCGGAACATAGTCAAATTTAGAGAAACAGAAAGTGTAATGGTGGCTGCCAGGGCCTGGGGGCAGGAGGAAAGGAATAAGGAGTTTTGTAATGGGTACAGAATTTCAATTTTGCAATATGAAAAAGTTTTGGAAATCTGTTGTATAACAATATGAATAAACCCTTGATGAACTGTATACTTAATGTAAAATGTATAAATTTTATGCTACACTTTACAATAAAAAAAACTTTTTAAAATATGCTTCACTACATCTTGACAATTAAAACTAAAATCTGGACCCCAGTATCCTTTAAGCCATTCCTTCCAGAGGAAAACTCTATTACCAAATGCTGTACATGTGGACTCAGGACCAAATCCCTCCCACTCACCTTCCAACTCACCTTCGTTTCGGTGCCCTAATGAAGAGCTCACAGAGGAGCCTGCCTTGCTCATCCTTATAGTCTCGAATGGTATTGTACAATTCATGGCATACAGCAATCTATACATAGGAAAAGGCGAAAAAAATCACCAGAAACGTGAATAGAAGGCCAGTGTAGGTATAATGTTATCCTTAATAAAAACATACTCATAAAAAGTAGAGAAGAAAATGGACAAATCCGCAAGTTCCCCCAAGTCTGAAATATACTTGACAATATTTCCTTATTTAAAATAATTTTAGGGGCGCCTAGGTGGCTCAGTTGTTAAGCGTCTGGCCTTCGGCTCAGGTCATGATCCTAGGGTCCTGGGATGGAGCCCCACATCGGGCTCCCTGCTCAGCGGAGGGCCTGCTTCTCCCTCTCCCACTCCCCCTGCTTGTGTTCCCTCTCTTGCTGTGTCTCTCTCTGTCAAATAAATAAATAAAATCTTAAAAAATAATAATAATAATTTTAACTGCTGAGGGGCACCTGGCTGGCTCAGTCAGAAGACCATCCAACTCTCGATCTCAGGGTCATGAGTTCAAGCCCCACACTGGGTAAAAAAAAAAAAAAAAAATTTAACCGATTAAACATCTTGGTATCTTTCATCAGATTTATGCTACTCGTGATTGTTCTTTTCTCTTAAGCTAAATCAGTTCATATCACTCTCTTGGTTAAAATCATTCAAAAGAGGAGCTTATTACTGAGAGAATAAAATCTAAACCCCTAACATTGACCATGGAGTATGTAGGGTACTTATATACTGTGGTTGGGCAGACTTTGCCAGTCTCCTTCTCCCCTTGACCATCTTTCTATAATCACAACACAACAAACGCATTCCTGACCTAGCTCCTCTGCATCGGATCCCTCTGCCTGGAACACCCTTTTCCAGTACTCTGTAGGGCCAGTGCCTTCCCATCAGCAGCCAAACCACCCAAACTTTTTTTCTTAGCATTTATCATTAGCTGAGAGTACTTTATTATCTATTTGTTCATCTGTTTACATTCTCCTTCTGCCACACTAGAATCCAAGCTCCATGTGAAAAATTGGCTTGTCTTACACATGGCTATATCCCAACCATCAGAACAGCGAGTGCTTGGCACATGACAAGTACAGTTATTTGAATGGATATATAATGCAACATACTAATATTTTCTTTCTTTTCTTTTTTTTTTTTTTGGTCAAAAGGTACAAACTTCCAGTTATTATAAATAAGTGCTGAGGATGTAACATACAACATAACTATACTTAACACTGCTACTGTATATTTTAAAGTGGTCCTAAGAGTAGATCCTAAAGGGCGCCTGGGTGGCTCAGTTGGTTAAGCGACTGCCTTCGGCTCAGGTCATGATCCTGGAGTCCCCAGATCAAGTCCCACATGGGGCTCCCTGCTCAGCAGGGAGTCTGCTTCTCCCTCTGACCCTCTTCCCTCTCGTGCTCTCTCTCATTCTCTCTCAAAAAAAAAAAAAAAAAGAAGAGTAGATCCTAAAAGTTCTCATTATAAGGAAAACAACGTTTTTTTTGGTCATCTATAGGAAATGATGGATATTAAACTAATCGTGGCTTCATTTCATAATATATATAGGTCAAATCATTATAGGGTACACCTCAAACTTATATAGTTTTATATGTCAATTACATCTCAATAAAACTAGAAAAAAAATTTTGTGCATATTTCTATTACACTGTCTGCCACTCTCTGATCTGTAGAATTCATAAGCCCATTTGGTTTTGTTTTTTTTTCCCCATTTGGTTATTTTTAATTAGAATTAAGTGCTTTGGCAGATTACACTTTTATAAAAACACCTTTTCATCAAAACAGAAATAACTTTATGCAAATTTCTTATTCTAAACGTATTCAGAGTAATTACTTTTTTTGAGAGTTCTTAAATACTTATTTTATTTTTAAAATGTATTACTCAGGGACACCTGGGTGGCTCAGCTGGTTGGATGTCTGACTCTTGGTTTTGGCTCAATTCATGATCCATGGTTGTGGGATTGAGCCCCAAGTCAGAACCTGCGTGCTCAGTGTGGAGCCTGCTTTTCCCTCTCCCTCCCCCGATTCCCCACTCTCTCTCTCTAAAATAAATAAATGATATCTTAAAAAAAAAAGTATTATGAAAGTATAACTGACATACAATATATAAGTTTCAGATGTACAACGTAGTGATTCAACAATTCTATACATTGTTCAATGCCCACCACAGTAGGTGTAATCCCTGTCACCATATAATGTTATTACAACATTGTTGACTATAATCCTTATGCTGTACTCTTCATCTCTGTGACTTATTTATTTTATAACTGGAAGTTTGTACCTCTTAATCCCCTTCACCTATTTCACCCACCCTCCACCCACCATTATTTCTTAAATTATAACTGTTAAGACTGTTGGTTAAATACATGCTTTCCATAAAAGAAAGATTAAGAATATTAAGCCAGAGGAAAAAGAAGTGTATCTTAACTGCTTATCATTAAAGGAAGAGTAGGAAAAGCAGGCAGAAACCGTGTGATGCAAGTTACTCACAGGATCTACAGTTGGAAGATTGGAAAGTCTCCTCCTTTTCCTGCTTGGGCCAGGTGTAGATACAGAATGGTGCCCGTCATCAAAGTCCCCACTGACGCTACTGGATGGCGAGGTAGCTCTTCTTCTCTTGGAACCCATGGAATCCAACTTCTTCTATAAGAAATAATCAGCCATGTTCTTATACTTAAATTTAGACACTGCCACCAAGCCCTCAGCTAGGCACTTGCTACCCAGATTCTGGTTCACTTAGGAGGATCTTTTAACCATTGTAAAGAAACTTAACTGTCAGTTTTTTCAGTGGAACTTCTGGACCTTGTTGCTTCAGCCCCTTCACTTACCAGAATGCTACACTTTCAACTCAGATAGGGCAAATTCAACAAAAGTTTACCCATTTATATGTCACCAAGTTTGAATGACTCAATCACGTCTGGTCCCAAATTTACTCCTTAATGGACTTTGAAAACCTACATGTAGGGGTACACCATTGTGGAGGTATTGATCCCTCAGCCCCTGAGGCAGCGAGGCAGGCCTCAGGGACAGAAGCCCCAAGGCAGTCACCTCTGGCATCAGCAGCTTCATCTGTTTTCCCCAGTATGTCTAACAATTCTGATCATTTTCCAGGTGGGCCATGATGTGGAAAAAAATAGAAATCAGTGCCTGAGGCAAATGAGTAGTGCCAAAGTGTAGGGGACAGAGGACAATTAACTTTCTAGCATTTTAGATGAACTCTAAAATTAACACACTGAAAATGAATTTTCTCCATTCATTAAAGAAGGCCACAAAACATATCCCTGGAAAACACTTAATGTGACTTACCATACCTATGTCAAAGTAGTAAAACTATTTTGAAACTTTTCTGTCAATCAGACTGACCTCCTTTTCAGTTATACGAGGTATTCTATCCCCATGAATTTTGAAATCATAGCTTTAAGTTTCAGCAGGTGATTTGGAATAGTATCTCAAAGGGGAACCTTCAGATACTAGTTGGCCTTTCAGAAACACATAAATATTTGCTGTCAGGTAGGCTGTCTAGTAGCTAATATTAACACAAATTTACAAATATACACATTTGACTGTAACACAAAAAATGCAACCATTGAAATGATCTGCTACAGCTAGAGGGAAAGGGTATATACCTGAGAAGGTCCTATAATGCTTTTACAATTTAACAACAGTATCAAATAGTATACTGTGACTTCACAGGTCTCTCTCCAAAGCTGAAAGAAAAAACTGATCCCAGTTTCACTCATCAACATTCAACGTCAGTAAACTAAGACGCCAGCAGCTGAAAGAACGGGTTGCCAGTAGGTATAGAGAGAAAAATTGGGGATCTCCAGGGAACAGAAAGGAGCAAAACAAACCAACAAACAGAACATTCTGGTAACCAACTAAGAAACAAGGAATCTCCTATCTCTTCCTCTGAACTATGGTCCACATGGTATTTAAAAACAGCCTACCATGATATTCCTTCCTCTAGGCTTTGGTTTGTTATACAGTATATTAGTTTGCAATTGGCTACAAATGGCTAAAAGGTTCAAAGGGCTTAGGCCAAGGACAGCCAAGTGTTGCTGATTTTTTTTGTTTCATTAAAAGGCTGATAAACTGGCCTCACTCAATTCATTAAGAGGAAGAAACTAAGGACCAAACCTCAGTAAACAAGCTATGACAAGGACACAAGTGAATTTGATGAACATGACAAGGGAATCTTTATGGGAAGGATTAACAAAATAAAAAAAAAGTGGAAGGGAAGAGGCAAGGAAGGACAGAAAAGAGAAAAGGTGTAGATGATCAGTAATTTACCAGCTTTACCAGAGCACAACCAGCGCCTCGAAAAGCCAGTCTCCTCATTATGTCTGAAGGCCAAGTGAAGCCAGTGGGAGAAGGCAGGGCTTTAGAAGTGCTGATTCAGTGTTAATATATTCAAAACTGAAAGAGAAGAACAAGGCAGAGAAAGGGGAAATAAAAAAGAAAGGTCAGAAAAAGTAAAAATGAGTACGAATAGATAGAAAACATTCAAGTAGAACTGCTAAAGAAAGATAAGAGAACTGGAGAAACTAGCCGTATCAGTTCTCTTGTGCCAAACTGCTGCAAAGGCTCAGGCACTAACAGTACCTGACATTTCTTTCCATTTTAAAACCAAATGCTTTTCATATGCTTAAAGATGGCTCACTGGGATTCCCCTTTACTCACATGGAATGACTGTCAATTCCAGGAATGAAGCATGCCTGCCCAAATGCCCCCTAGTCAATAAGAGCAGAGTTCAATCACAGAGCTGGAATGGAGAGTGAACACATGTGGAAGGCTCACATGTGACACCAAGTGTTGGCAAGCTGGAACAAACCAAGAATGGCTCATGTGAACAGAGTCTGGAAAACTCCTCCCCCCCCCAAAAAAAAATTCAGAGAAAGACATTTCTTTCCAAAAGTCCTATCAGCATTGGAAAGACACCACACACAAATTTTAAAAAATTAAAAACAAAGCCTTCGATCATTTTGGCAGGCGATCAAAATTACCTTCAGAAATAATCCACTGAAAAGCAAATGACAAACTGTAAATCGTTGGTGTGTATATACCAGTTTAGACCACACAATAACCAAAACTCCTTAAATCATTAACTTTCTCTGCTAAAACAAGAAAAAGATGTAACTTAAGGGTAATTTTCAATTATTTTCTTATCCAAAGGACACGTTTTTAAATGTATTTTGGAAGTTTGGCAATAAAGGCAATGTGGCCAGACAGGTGGGAGAAGCAACAGGACTTGAGCTCAGACGACCAGAATGTGAGTCCCAAGTCTTCCACTTTGAATTATGTTTGATGTTGCTTGAGTCACAACCTCTCAGAGCTGTTTCTTCACTTCTAAAATGAGAACAGTCAGGTGTGCATATCTGCCTTAGATTATTGGGACTGTGAAATGTTCATGAAATCACTTTGAAACTTCAAAACAGGACAAGGAAGTTTCGACTCTAGGATTAAATGCTCCCTGGGAACAGGAATAGCACTTTATTCATTTTTGTAGCTCTAGCTTATAGAATAGTTCTGGTATAGTATGAGTGATCAACTTTTTAATAAACACATTAAAAGTACACATAAGTGGGACGTTAAAAAAAGTCTGTGTGGTTTAAAAGGACTGTGAGCATCCCTTTAGCAATTCTTTTGCCATGAAGAGAAAATCGATTCTGGAGCTAATAAAATACAGGTTTTTAAAATGGCACTGATTACAGTCACATGTCCAAAAGTCTGATAACCAATAAATTACAGTGGACACTAATGAATAACTTTTAAAATGTGCAATTGGGAAAATACTGACTCATTATACCCACATGGTATATGTTGACAGTTTATAAACTTTTCGTACTTTCCTCTATTTCTCATGATACTCAATACTGTAATACATGGTTAGAACAAGAATCTTGGAAAACAGGATTTGAAGGAGAAAAAAACCATAATCTTTCTTCCTAGGGGAAAAAACACCCTTAACATTGGCATTCACAGCTTTTTGTATTTATTCTATGCCTTAGTTGCCTATTTTTTTAAACAAAAGTGTTAAAACATATGTATTATTTTGCACCTTGTATTTTAACTCAGGATTATTCCAAGTCAACATTCTTCCACATGATGTTTGATGGCTTGATAATAGCCTATCATATATATATACCACAATTTACTAATCTTGGGGTTTTGGATAGAATATTAATATTTGAGGTACACCCAAAGCCAAAGAAAGCGATCAAGGCCCTTCAATTTATCCACACATTTGTTACTGTTTTAAGTTGGAAATAGTTCTTCAAAAGATACTTTCCTAACTTCCTTTGAATCTTAAAATACCGACATCTGTTAACAAATAATAAAGCAAAATCATACTACTCTTAATGGAGAAACATCACTTCAAAACCACTTTTGAGGAGCCCTAGTTTTTTGGAATATAAGTTAGTAAGAATGTTTTATTCCAACATATGTTCTATAACCACAGTAATAATTTCTATATCTGCTATACCGTGTATTTGCCATTTGGTTTTCAGTATTTCTTCTACATTTTGCCAATCTTATTTAAATCACCAATATCTGCTCTATCACAACAAAACTACATTTCTTTCAGTAAAAAATCTTAAGAGGTGGAAAATTATTAAAAACCAGGAAACGTAGAGTTTTAAAACCTCGATTTCTTTTTCGTGGTGCTGCAGGAACATGAGATACTTAAAAATCTAGCCTTTACTATAAATACAAGTCCCATTGATAAAAACATTCGGTCTGAACACAGTCATCTAGAAAATGTAAAAAAAAAAAAAAATTAAAAAAATTTTTTTCACTAGTTGAGTTTGCGTCCGAACCGTCAAGAAACAACAAAAAAAGGAGGCCCTGACCTGCGGAAGAAATGAAAGACTTTCCGGACCTGTCACTCGTACGGGGACTAAATGAAACGTTGACAGCTTTGAAGCTGCCCGCGACGAGTGCTCGGCCAGCAGCAGGGGCGGGAAAGAGGGAGCGAGGAGTTTCCGGGCCGTGGCGCGCCTTTGTCCCGGCCGGCAGGTGCGGCAAGGCTCCCTGGCCGTCCCGACGCCCGCCGCCGTGCCCCGCCCCGCGCGCCCGGCCCGACCGGCGCGTCCCCACGGCCGGGGCGGGGCCTCCGCCGCTGCTCCCGCCCGCCCGGGCCCACACAAAGGCCCGGCAGCCGGCCGAGAAGGAGCGGCCCCGCCCGCCCCGAGCCCGGCCTTACCCAGCCGCTCCGCCGCCTGCAGCCCCGGCCGCGGTCACCGACCGCCGCGCCCCGCCCCGTGGCCGCCACGGCTGCTGCTATTGCTCCTCCGGCTGCGGCCGCTGCCGTCTCTCCAGCACCCGCCGCCCTCACCGCCCTCACCCCTCCCGGTGCCGCCGCAAAACCAGTCCCGCGGCCGCCAAGCGAACCCGGCCCCGCACGACACTGCGTGCGCGCGCACGCGAGCGGGCAGCGGCGCTCTTTACGGCGGTAGCGTCAGTGCGTGACGCTCGAGCTTGGCCGCAATTTACACGTGGCTGTGTTGGAGGCGCGTTGTTGTTGCTGCCGCTACAGTCGCTGCCGGCACTGCCCTTGCCACTACCAGTATGAAGCGACCGAGTGAGTGGGGTCAGGGAGCGGGTGTGGAGGGGCCTTTCTCTCTAATGGTTGACGAACCACCGGGGCGCTCTTATGTGGGAATGGAGGAGCCTGCGGGTAGGCCGTCGCGCTGGTCCGCAGTAGAAGCGAGGGTTGGAAGGCCCCACGCTGACCGCCGGTTTGTTTTACGAAAGGAAGACAAAAGTGAATTTCACCGGAGCGCTTGGGTGGTTCAGTCGGTAAAGCGGCGGCCTTCGGCTCAGGTCATGATCCCGGGGTCCTGGTATTTAGCCCTCCGTGGACTCCTTGCTCAGCGGGGAGTCTGCTTCTCCCTCTGCCCTTCTCCTTGCTCTTGTTCTGTGTCAAAATCTTAAAAAAAAAAGAGAGAGACGGGGGGAGTCTTTGACAGAGACAGAGTACAAGCAGGGAGAGGGAGAAGCAGGTTTCCCGCTGAGCAAGGAGCCCCATGCGGGACTCGATCCCAGCACCCTGGGATCATGACCTGAGCCAAAGGCAGACGCTTAACCAACTGAGCCACCCAGGCGCCTACATAAATAAAATCTTCAAAGAAAAAAAAAAAGGGAAGATGAAGCCTGGGCCTCTTGCGTAAACAGTGTCTGAGCCAGGTTGCAGGCCCAGCATTTTCCTCCCTTGGCCCACGTTCAGTCTGGCCCTAGAGAGGTCTGAGTGCCACCTCCGAAATCCACTGTTAGGTCCTAACTTGTGATTCACCGTGTGTGACAAGAAGTGCCTGCTGTTTTGGGTCTCATGCTCCTGTGTGCGATTTCAGTCTACTATGGGAAGAGGGGGCGTAAGGAAGCTGGGCTCTGCTCCAGATATACTGTGTCAAATTGTCCGGAGATTTTAGAATGGCCTATGTTTATTATCCACCATATATGATTCTTAAATTAGGTTTGAGAGCTAATTGCTAAATGGGAAAAGGGACGTAACCCCCGAGCAGTCACTAAAAACTAAACAAACGGATCTCTTGTGTCTAATTGTTTTGCGATGGGTTTTTTTGTAGAGTTAAAGAAAGCAAGTAAACGCATGACCTGCCATAAGCGTTATAAAATCCAAAAAAAGGTAAGTGCTGTGTTTGAAGAGCTATATTAAAATAATGCAAAACTGATTTCTGCCCCACCTCTCCTCCACCGGGAGGTTTGGATTAATAGGATTTCACCTCATGAAACTGAGGTTAAATAGACTGTCTGTGGGCACAAGTTCTTAGACATCAGGAGTGTAGCTCTGGGAAAGGGCAGTAATTTGGTGATAAGTCTGTAAACTCTGATCAACATGTTAATGTCTGCAAAGTCTCCTGATGACATTTTTTTGCTGTTTTATACATAAATATGTATGCTTTCTATACGGTTATAAGTTAACTTTTCCAGGTTATTTTATAGGTATAACGAACTTTAGCCAGGTACTCACAAGAATTTTTATTATAATAGGTTCGAGAGCACCATCGAAAATTGAGGAAGGAGGCTAAAAAACGGGGTCGCAAAAAGCCTAGAAAAGACCCAGGAGTTCCAAACAGTGCTCCCTTTAAAGAAGCTCTTCTTCGGGAAGCTGAGCTAAGGAAACAGCGGGTAAGATATGTTAATTCAAACTTTGAACAAGTGATGTGTGGGTATGTGTAGCTTTTCAAAGTAAAATAACACCAGGTTGCTTTGGCTCACCCATTTCTCTTACGGCTTGGACACAGCTTGAAGAACTAAAACAGCAGCAGAAACTTGACAGGCAGAAGGAACAGGAAAAGAAAAGAAAACTTGAAATTAACCCTGGTGTTAAGCCATCTAACTTGGAACCTGTGAAGGAGGTAGGATTAAGTATCTTTGTGAATGAGGGTTCTGACGTAGACGTAAAAACACATACCCGGGGCAGGGGCTGCTGTGCCTCTTGGACAGAGAGAGCGTTCCAGCTCTCTTTTACTAATAGAAATATCACCTGCAGTGCCCGTAGTTAGCCATGGAAAATGGAGAATCAGGTTGCACCTAAAGTGCTAATTTTGTGTCCTTTTTCCCTTATCTTTATCTTGCAGGAATTTGGGCATGGCAGAGCTAAGGACAAACCCAAGTCAGGCAAACAGAATCCGAAGAAGTTGTATTGTCAGGAACTTAAAAAGGTATTTTAGTCTAGGTCAGTGTCTAAAAATGGTAATGAGGTTGAAAAGGCTAGAGTTCTTTTTCTGACACCAGCCCTGTAAATGTGGAAGTGGAGTTCACTTGAGCTAGATGAATCCTTTAGCAAGTTGACTTACCCCGTTTTTTAGTTTTTATTTTTATTTATTTATTTATTGTGGTTTATTCTACTTAGGGCCTTTTCTATTTAACTGAAATATTCTTAAGATTTAAAATTTTTGCACAGGAACAGTTCCCTATAAGCTTCATTTACAAAAATGGTTGCTTTGTGTTAAAGTAACATGTTGATAGTGGTTTTTTAAAATAGAGGAAAATACATTAGAGCAAGTAGTGTGGAAACAAAACTGTTGAAACGTAAGTGAAGGAAGTCAAGGGAGTGTCTTGGCATAGTTGCTCCCCAGAACTCCATCCCCAATATTCATTTTCCCAGGCTCACTCCCCTCTGAATAGAACATGACTGCTGCTCAGCAGCTCTTGCAGGGCCGGGGGGAGGGGGGGGGGCGTCACACTATGTAATTCACCATTGGAGGGTTATAGATTCGGACAGTGGAGGTATTTCCACTTTTGAAATCCATTTTGATGGGAGACTAGAGGCTGCCAAGCAAACCTATATTTTACTTTCCTGTGAGAAATGATGAACATGTGAACATTCTTCATGCCCAGGTGAAGATGTAAGATCCAACTCTGAGCTCACCCTGCTGCAAAGTGGAAAATGTCAGTATACTTGTATGGAGGGTGTTGCCAGAGCAAGGGATACTCCTCTGATAGTTTCTGCCTTGACAGGTGATTGAAGCCTCAGATGTTGTGCTGGAGGTGCTCGATGCCAGAGATCCACTTGGTTGCAGGTGTCCCCAGGTAGAAGAGGCCATTATCCAGGATGGACAGAAGAAGCTGGTACTTGTATTAAATAAATCAGGTGAGCAAAGGGATGCCTTTTATGTTCCATATGCACTAGTGAGGTATGAGGAAAATGTGTGAGCAGTCTGATTTTCACTGAAGACTGATAAGATCCAACTCTGACCTCAGTAAAGCCAGTGCATATGGTCTTGTTGCCAAAGACAGTGCTGGGCAATGGGATGGAGGTATTTTCTGTAAGTGATTAACAGGTTTCTACTGTTCTTTTGCCATTCAGTATTTATCATCTTGTCTTATTTAAGAGTGTAAGCTTCTCTACTCAGCTTACTGTGCAATATATTGCACATAGGAAGTGATGGTAGTTTGCCATATTCCCCACATCTGCATAAAGTCTATACATGACAGTATTTATATGAAGTGCACTTAGGAAGCATTGGTTTGAACATCAGGGCCAGGAAAACCCAGAGTAGAGAGAGACTTGTGAAGCAGAAAGTAAGAATGGCATTCAGTTACTGTTGGTAACTCTCAGGTAACATGGCTGATTCTGGAAACATAGCTGTAGAGTTAAGCTAGTAGGGTCATAATCTACAGGTTGACTTAATTCTGAAAGGGTGAGCCCGGCAGAGGGGGACTGAAGAAATACTGAGGTGTAGATGCTGAATTCTGTTAAGATAAGGGCAGCATGGTAGGGAGCTTACCCTCTTCCCATCTTCCACTTAAATCCTTTTGAAAAAACTGAAGAAACAAACCAGAGTAAAATCCAGTTTATCAGATAGTGCATATTCATGTCAACAAAGTGACCAAATTGTAGCATGTGTCTTATTCCTAATCCCTATTAGATTTGGTACCAAAGGAGAATTTGGAGAACTGGCTAAATTATTTGAAGAAGGAATTACCAACAGTGGTGTTCAGAGCCTCAACAAATAAAGACAAGGGCAAGATAATCAAGGTACTTTTTCAGTCAGTGGTGGGAAGTGTGGTTCTTTCAGATTTTGGATGGCTGAAATATGATGAGTGTATAAAATCTTGATTAAAAAATGAGAACTCAAAAGATCCAACTCTGATTTCATCCAGAGATAATCTGAAAGATAATAGTGTGGTGATTTTAATAGCTGGGCTCTGGAGTCAGATTGCTTGGGTTTTATCTGGTGGGTTATCAGAAGTAGTTAAACTAATTATATGGAATTTTAGCATTTGAAGGTAAGGAAGAGAGCTCCATTCAAAAGCGAAGTCTGTGTTGGGAAAGACAGCCTTTGGAAGCTTCTCAGAGGTTTTCAGGAGGCTTGTGGCAAAGCCATTCAGGTTGGAGTAATTGGTGAGTTTCAGTTCAACACACTTTATTTATGTCTTATCTCTTAAGTGCCAGGGTTTTATTCATGTTAACAGTGTCTTGGGTTGGTACTCAATAAAGGGCGTGTTCGAACATTAGCTTCTTGCCCACTTCATCATCACAAAAATTTTAATTGCTGCCTGTTTCAGTGCTGTGCACTGTAGGAAGTTGGCTTCTGAAAGCTCCTGGTTTATTTGAATTAATCATCTTTTCCTGCTCTTTGATTACTTGTGCAAGAAATGAAGATGCTAAGATTGGTCTTAGTGTTGAAGTGAAGACACTCAGATCCAACTCTTGCTGCAAACATCAGGCAAACCTAAGGCAGTGGAAATTTTATAATTACCAATACGTAATGCCTTTTCTGTGGATTTCCCATTTGTAGGTTTCCCAAATGTGGGGAAAAGCAGCAGCATCAATAATTTAAAACAAGAACGGATATGTAATGTTGGTATATCCATGGGGCTTACAAGGTAAAGTGAGTTTTTCCATAATTGTGATATTTCATTATAGATGAGTAATTGTTTTGGATAGCTTAAGGAAGACCATTTACTATTTTTATTTTAGAGGTGTCAGTGAAAGGAACAGGGTTAAGTCAGTGCTAGACTTAGGGAAGAATTGATTAGAGTGGAATAGCTCACATCTAGTTTGAAAGACAAGCAAATAGATTTGAGAGAAGAAGCTGCCTCAGAAGGGATGCTTGAACTCAATTCTGAATTGAAGCCAGCCAGGTGGGGGCGCCTCGGTGGCTCAGATGGTTAAGCGTCTGCCTTAGGCTCAGGTCATGATCCCAGGGTCCTGGGATCGAGGCCTGCATTGGGCTCCCTGCTCCGTGGGAAGCCTGCTTCTCCCCCTCCCTCTGCCACTCCCCCAGCTTGTGTTCCCTCTCTTGCTGTGTCTCTGTCAAATAAATAAATAAATAAATCTTTAAAAAAAAAAAAAAGCCAGGTGGAGGGGAAATTTTCATGGCAGAGGAAATGGCATGTGTTTAGGTCAACAGATAAGCTCTAACATGTAGTGTTTCTCTTTAGTAGGGGAGGAACACTGTTAAGAGTTTCAGATGAACATGAAGCAAATGATGATAAACTGGATCTGACAGACTGTGCTGAGTTTGTTCAATCCAACCCTGAGCTTCGTGTTGTCTCTCGTCCTTCAGGTAAACCAGTGCTCCCATCAGTTACCATCCCTCTTGTTCCAGGTGCATGCACGTTGTCCCCCTGGACAAACAAATCACAGTCCTAGACAGTCCAAGTCTCATTGTGTCTCCACTTAACTCTGCCAGCGCACTTGCTCTGAGAAGTCCAGCAAGTATTGAGGTGGTGAAACCAGTGGAGGCTGCTAGTGCCATCTTGGCCCAGGCTGATGCTCGACAGGTAGAAGAACCCCCTTCCCTTGAGTTCTGTCTTCTCTTTCATCGTAAGCATTTTAAGTAGAAGATTTTCAAGGTTTTTTCTGTTTTGTTTTTTTTACACTGATCAGATGAATGACCTTTTCGGTTTTTCTTTTTTTTAAGGTAGTACTGAAATTTACTGTTCCAGACTTTAAGAATCCTGTGGAGTTTTTTACATCACTTGCTCAGAGAAGAGGACTGCACCGAAAAGGTGGAAGTCCAAATTTAGAAGGTGCTGCCAAACTGATGTGGTCGGAGTGGACAGGGTAAGACCCTTTCTGTTGGCATTTTGAGGATCACATGGAATGAAGGAACTGATTTTTGACAAATCTTGTTTTTAATACCAGTGCTTCCTTAGGTTACTATTGCCATCCCCCTACATCCTGGACTCCTTCTCCACATTTTAATGAGGGCATTTTGACAAATGTGAAACAGGACCTTAATCTGGAAGAACTGGAAAAGAACAATGCACACAGCATACGTAGTAAGCAAGTCTTGTGTTTGCGGTCTTCATTAGCTGATAGGCAAATAAAAGGTCTCCTCTGTTTACATGAGCGCTGTGTTCCTTCCCTAGCTATCAGGGGCCCTCGTTTAGCCAGCAGCATCCTTTTCCAGTCTTCGGGTCTGACAAATGGAATAATTGAGGAAAAGGACGTACCTGAAGAACTGCCAAAACAGAAGGAGAAGCAGCAGGAGGAGGGGGAGAACTACAGTGACCTTGACAGTGACCAGGAAAGTGTTGAAGAAGCAGCTGGTGTAAGTATGTTGCACGAGTTGCTTAAGCTGAAGTAAGTTTCCTAGCATTATAATGTCTAACAAATGGGAAGGGGCTGAAGGGAAAAATTAAACAGTTCATGACAGATTACAAAAAAAAAACTCCTTAAAATTTAAATATTTAAGGGTTGCAATCATTAGTCTTAATTTTGTGTGTCCATTTATGTGTAACTTCAGAGTCTTTTTCCAGATATGCAATTCCTTGGGTTAATGAACAGACAAGGGCTACTAATCTTGTACTATTTCTCTTCGTCCCACAGGAAAAGAGCTTAGACATGTCTGGGGCAGAAGAGGCCTGGGAGGCACTGCCTGAGGAGTCTCAAGCAGGTGGGGCAACTTGGGTGGAGGGATTTACTAACAAAGCAGCATGGTATGGAATTGCCCTTTTTTTTTGAAACCTCTTTTTTTTTTCCTCCAATATAGATGAGTTCGCACATTCTTACATCTCAGATAAAATGACTGAAGAGGAAGATGACGCTTATGACTTCACAGACTATGTATAACAGAACCTTGTCCTTTTGTAAGGTGGCTTCTTAACATTTTGAACAGACTGCTAAGCTGTTGTGTGTGCTGTACCAGTTTGTTACAGTATGATGTAAACTGTAAATTTTGTAACTATCATACATTCGTTTTAAAAAATAAGGCAGTGTAGAAAGTGTCTAAGTTCTATAAGAAGACAACTCCTCTCTTAACACAATGAGTGAATGGAAGTATAGTTAATTATCTGGAAGCAAAAAATCATACCTATTGAAAAATGTAGGTTTCACTTTATTAACAGATCAGACCACAGGTTAAGGTCACAAAATTAAAACCAAGCCGCAGTGTTGAACTAGCTGTACCACCCCTGTCAGTCCTTTTACCTCCGGTCATTCAGCACGGTAGTAAGCAAACACTTGGTAAGGCAGATGGGAACATGTATAGTCTCTCTGGGGAGCTAGCTGACTGCTAGCTGGGGCAGTTTGTCCTCCTGACCCAGCTGAAATGTCCCTTTTTCCGTGGGCTGCCGCAGATAGGCTTTGAAGCCTTGCAACTGTTACTTCCCACACATACTGTCTTCCAGGATTTCCTGAGAAATGCTTCTAGTATAAATTACGTTTTGTTTTATATTGAGATCTCCATATGTCTTCGGATCAGGCTGAATTTGCCTGTTGGGTCTGGAATATACCATTTTTCCCAGACATCAGAATAGGAAGCAGTTCTTCCCCATGGCTTAAAGTGACCATTCCAATGGAGTAACTTGGCAGCCTTTACAAACTGGGGTGAATATCGTTTTCCAGCACTGGAACCTTACATTGAGAGAAAAAGAGCCAAATGATTGTACTAGTTACTAGTCAGAAATAAGAATGCTACATCAAACTGTAGAAAACTTAAAGGAAACTAGATACAGCCCGTCCCTGAGGATAGTCCTTCAACTAATTCCTTATTAGCTTAGGCATTTTGGTGAATTTTTTTGACTTACCAAGGTGGCGGACATTCCACATGGGGTCGATGGTAGAGTGCTGTTGATAAAATACAATCAGCAGAGGAGGTGTGGTGGTGCTGCCAGCCAGTGTTCTGCTATACAGCCCCTCTCTTGGGAGAGATGACAAATGTAAGGTATTAGTGGAAAATCCTGACAAATTACTCTTAAGATAAGACCCCCAGGGTTGAAATTAGGGTCTTCACAGTGTGGTCAGCTATATACTTACTCTACATTGAGTTTCATCCATTTTTCCAGCTGGTTAGTTATATTTTGTTTTTTCCATTCTGTCAAGTTTGCAACAAAAACTCCAGGATTAAATGAGCAGGTGCTGGCTTTCATGGAAAGTTTGCGAATTCTTTCCTTTTTATAGTCAAGATAGCCGATGTAATTGTACTAAAACACAAAGGGGAAATAGAGATGTTCACTGCCTCAAACAGAATAGATCTGTAACTAATAAAGAATATAATAAAGAAAAAACCTGCTTATTAAACTACTTGGATTATCAGCAGAGGGTTCCATGTAAGTGAAATCTCGGATTCGAAGTTAGAGTAGAAACCTAGAATAAACACACTAAGCTAGATGTTCAAGGAGAATTAGGTTGTCAAGTTCACCGACCAATCCATAGGAAAGCAACCTTGAGTTCTGGGATGAAGTGAGGAATGTAAAACGCAGCAAAAAAGAAAGAGCTCCCTGATTTTGTTGCCTTCCCTCCATTACCCTGCATTATAGAGCGTGGAGTGTCTGTACAAGGTAACGAATAAATAACTCACTTGGTTCCCTGCTCCACGGATGACAACTTTGGTAGAGGCTGAGTCACAATCTTCTGAAAATGCAGCTGCATGTCCTGGCTTCAATGGTGTATTATAAAGGGCAAGAATATCCCCTGAAATAGACAAAGTATAAGATTTACAAAAGATTTATACTTTGAGTTGCCTCAAGATGCCCATTCCTCCCAATTAGGATGACCTTTTATAGGATACCATAAATAAAACAACCACAACCTCCCAGCTGGAAACCTCTGTCCCAAACTCTGGACAGAGAACAGCACCAATGGTAATAACAAGTCTTTGGTACCTTGCACAATTACATCATCATCCATATATATGGCCTTCTTCGCACTGGGAACCAGAATTGGCAAGTAGAACCGTGCAAAGGTTAACTGGGAAAGGAAAAGGAAAGAGGCATTGGCATAGGATTCGTCAGTGGCTAAGCCTTCATTAGAAACTCCCAGAATGCTTTTTGTACCCATGCAGAAGACCACTGAAGGTCTCTTAAGAACTGCCCCACCTTGGCCCCCAGGGAGCTACTTGCAGTGCACCCAGTTACCCAGATATTCCAGTCATTTCCTAATACAGCTGACCCTTGGGACAATGCAGGGTTTAGGGATAATAGCCTCCTGGACAGTCAAAAATCAACATACAACTTTTGACTCCCCCAAAACTTGATAACCTACTGTGGACTAGAAACCTTACCTAGAATATAAACAGTCAACATATTTTGTGTTAACATGAATTATATACTGCATCACAATAACAGAATGTTAAAATCAAGGAAAAAACATTTACAGTACTATATCAAAAAAAAAATCTATTGAAAAAATCTGCATATAAGTGGACTCTTGCAGTTCAAACCTGGGTTGTTCTAGAGTCAACTATATTCCCAAGTACAAACAAGGATACACAGAACTCACTGGTTTTATGGATTCCCCCTGGTCAGGATCCTCCTTTACTTTCCCTTCCAAAAGTTTAGTGTCAAAATTCACAATTTTGTACCTGATGGTTTTCAAGGTACTGCCGCTGAGCCAGGACCTGATGAAAATATACCAAATTTCAGTTTTATATAACCATGTCCCCAAGACTGCAGCCTTCTCTTTGTGCCTTCCAAGGGCATAATGTAAGAGAAACCCTGGCGACCAGATAGGTGTCTTAAAGCCCGTTCACCCCTTCCCCTCTGCAAATCCTGGATTCCTCATCTGCAGTGAGGGTGTGCCCATCCAAGTCCCTGCCTGAACCACAATTCTGTGGTGATGGATAGTGCTCCCACCAGGCTCACACTTGGGATCACTGCTGTAGAAAAACTGGAGTTGAGAACATTCCATCACCACATGTGGTCCAACTCTTGTCCCGAACATGGTAAAGAAGTCAGACTTCGATGGTAGTGAAAGCTAATTATCGACAAAGTGGTAATCACGCTATTACAGACTCATTAATTCACTGTAATGACTAATTCTTCCACCCGAGTCTAAGGTATTCTAAGAAAAATTCCATGTTCTCTAAAGTATTGCACATTTTTTCTGTAGCTATTCTAATGCAATATTTGTTTTTACATTATTTTAGATGGTTTTGGATAAAATGGGAAAAATAAGTCATCACAATTTTCACAAACTAAACATGAACCATGTAGAAAGGCACAAGGACAGAAATGTTTTAGAACTTTGACAACTGTCAACCTGTTGGACAAGACGTTTGACTAAATTTCATAAATCTGAATTCAGAGCATTTTTAAGACCTGGGTGAACTCTTGTTCATCAGCTTAGGATTCTATGATTAGTTACAACAATTGTAGTAAGGAACATTTACTCAATGATTATGTTCTTAGTGTTTTTTATATATTTTCTCATTTGCAACACAATAATCCTCTAAGTTGGATATTTTCACCCCATACTTAGAGATCTGGAAATGGGCTCCAAGGGGTTAAGTAATGTTACCCAGTCACTCTGGGCCAGGATCTGGATTCAGTGTCTGCTCACTTCGCCACACCACCTTGCCATTGCTTCCCCATCCCATCCCACTCTGGACCTAATCAGGGTATGTCCATGAGATAAGGAACTTGTAACAGGATATAAATCAACATACTGCTGCTTTCACTGAGAAGCTCATTACCAAAACAGTATCCGCTTGAGTTAACAATGTGTATATGGCACAGTGATTTACATCTTAGCACAAATTCCTTGTATTGTTTCTTCTACAATAGGGACATGTTTATGATACAATCACATGGAAAAATATGTCAAATGTGCAGTTTTTATGTGGTATAATTCCAACTGTATAGAAAAACTACAGACATATAGACATATAGAAAAAAACATTTCCTGGATTGGCAGCTGGCCTGTTCTAGAGCATCCTCTACAAGCAGAATCATCAGGCAAGCAGAGCTCACCGGAGATGGTCTGCTGTACCATTGAGTGTAACAATGTAGAACATCACATTGGAGCGAGTGTTGTGCTGAATGCTGTTTATAGCTGCAATGGCCCCCCCGAGCCTGTCTTCAGATGCAGCAATGACCACAGGAATCTCCTCTTGTCTCCCGTCTACAGCTTGCTGGGGAACATTTGGGACAAAGTCTATGGGCTGAAACCCCACAATTCCTGAATCTGCAAAGAACACACAAGAAAGGCATTGTGATACAATCTCATGAGCTTTTGATAGAGAGCCCAAGACATGAAAAGAGGTAAGGTGGGGATTATACTTACCTCATTCTCCCCTCATTATAATGTGAGGCATATAGCTCAGAAACTCTTCTCCTATATTTAACAAGGCTTTTGGAAAAGCAGAAGCATTAAAAAAAAAATGGTGGAGTGAATTCTGATACACTACTGGTGGGAATACAACAATCTTTCAAGAATGTATTTTAGCAATTTGTGTCAAGAGCCTTAAATGCGGGGTACATGGCTGGCTCAGTCAGGGGAACTGCGACTCTTGATCTCAGGGTTGTGAGTTCAAGCTCCACATCAGGGGTTGAGATTACTTAAATAAATAAACGAACCTTAAACAGGTATATCGGCCTCTGAGCCAGTAATTCCCCTTGTCCTCTCTTAAGGACAAATCTGAGAAGTTAATCAGAAGTCACAAGTTTGTTTATAATTGTGAAAACCTAGAAAGAGACTAAACAGTTGTTTTTCACTCTATGAATTATGTCCCATAATAGGCATGAAATCAATTCAGTGGGTCACAATCAGAATTTGAGTAGGAAAACGGTTCCTGAATTGGAATAGAATTAGAAAAGTATCAGACTGCATCACACACAGCAACTCTAAGTACTGTTTCATAAGGGTTCTTTTCTGCCTTTTAAAATATATATTCATTCATTTACATTCATTGAACACTGAGCACCTAATATGTGGAAGGCAGTATCTAGGCACTGGGGTTGTAGCCATAAATAAAACGGAGAAAATCTCTGCCATCATGAAGGATAGACAATAAGCAAGTACACATGTATACTTGTGTGCTTTATGTAACATGTTTCTTCAAAAAAAAGTCTTGAGTCATTGTACCAAGACTATTTCCTGTGGAAACAAGCTATGGGGCATTAAAATTATGTATGAGGAGTACCATCATGGTGACTTGCTTCAGATACAATCACATGGAAAACCTGTCATGTGCAGTTTATAAAGTGCATAATCTCATAATAGAAAAACTGTATACACAGGAAGAGAAACCCAGGAAGGTACTATGCCAGAATTTTAATGATAGTTATCTCTAAGTAATGAAATCATGTATTCAATGAAAATTTATTGAGCACCTCCTGTGTACTGGCCATCATTTATATGCATGGGAGATAAAGGAGTGAACAAATTACTCTCATGGAGCCTAAATGCTCTTTTCATTTTTATAAATGTTCCCACTAGAACATACATTCCTTTATGTACATAGAATATGTATATATGTAAATACACACTTGTAAAATATGCTATCAGAGCACTCAGTAAAGGTCAGGGGAAGGCTATTAGTCTTTTCTTGCTGTGGTCAACTATGGTGGGTGGCAAACCCAAAATGATTTTTGACAAACATCGTAAGGCCTCAAACATCCCTCAATACCAAAGCAGGAGCAATATGAACAACTAATTTAAAAGAACTGACGATGGAATTATACAGTAAAGTGATTTTTTTAATTAGTTGCTAGGCTTGATGGTTTTGTGTTTCTACTAGAGTCCTAGTGATACTCTTCCACAGGTTAAAGGAAAGTAACCACACTGACACTAGTAAATAGGGCAGGCATCAAAGAGAAGCGTCACTCACCTGTCCCCACCTTCTGAAGCCCTGCTCTGCTGCAGTGTGAGCAGACAGCAGCCCACAGAGGCTCCCCTAAGGCCTCTGATGGGGTGAAAAGGGATCTGCTGTCAGATCAAACCCTTAACAAATCTCCACATAACAGGAGAAGGGGTGGGGGGTGGGGCTGCAAGAGCCTGAGTACCACCACTCCCTTTCCCAGAGTCTAACAGCTTTTGTAAGGACAAGAAGAAAACTTCCTTTTCCTTTAGCCTAGTAATGTAACTTAGAATGTTGGGGTACAGGGAACTCCGGGTCCTCAACAGGTGCCAAGCCATTAGTAAGGGCTCCCATACCTGAAACCTCATTCCTTAGCAAACTGCTCAGGCCGAGGAAGTTATGGTGCAAAACCAGTAAGAAGAGAACAACAGCCAGGACCAGGACGATGATGTTTACTGAAACACAGGAAAAGCCTGCATTACATCTCTTTACCTTCTGAGCAGCTATAAAAACAATGTAATTTGTAGAAAGAGCATACCTTTACGGAATGACATCTTTCTCTTCTGTCTTATATAAATACTAGTTTTTAACCCTACAAGACAAAAACAAGCCCCCAAAGTCAGCAGGTACATGAGAATTACCATCAAAATGCCTCAACACTTTTATTCAGGTAGAAACATAACAGTATTTTCTGCCAGAAACTCATTTTGAATTAATAGTTTCCAAGAACCCAAATTGAGATCGAATTTTATATAGTAGTCATGATAATAAAATACTTGCAAATAATGTGGGAGAAATAGATAGCTTTGTACATTAAATGTCACCAGATGAAAAGCAAAATAAATTCTACCAAGAGGAATACTTGGTAGAATACATTTCCACTATGGAAATGTTTTCTGAATGAATTTCTACTCAAAATTCCTAGTTAAATTAGACATGGACTCAGTTATCTATGATCAGATAACCTGAGGTCGGCCTCATTGGTACAAAACATCCCTGTTCTGAGTTTTATCCCATTCAGCTTTAATTGGAATTAAAGAGAAAAACATTTATCAAATTCATTCAAAACTATAGCAGAGAGGGGTGCCTGGGTGGCTCAGTCAGTTAAGCATCTGCCTTTGGCTCAGGTCATGATCCCAGGGTCCTGGGATGGAGTCCTGCATCGGGCTCCCTGCTTGGCAGAGAGCCTGCTTCTCCCTCTCCCTCTGCTGCTCCCCCTGCTTATGCTCTGTCAAATAAATAAATAAAATCTTAAGATAATAATAATAATAATGGCACCTGGCTGTCTCAGTCAGTAGAGCATGTAACTCTTGATCTAGGGGTTGAGTTTGAGCCCCACAGTGGGTATAGAGATTACTTAAAAAATAAAAAATAAAAATCTAAAATAATCACAATCAAATGAGAATGTGTGTGTAACTAAATTAAACGATCAGATTTCTATAACATGTCTGGATAATGTTTCCTTAAAAGATTTTATGCATCCAGGATATTATGATCTTACCTCTGAGACCTTTACCTTTTCTACTTCATCCTCCCCCATAGGAGTACCTAACATTTACACAAGGCCATTAACTTCACAAAGCACTTTGAATTATAGCATATTTCTAAAATCAAAGTCTGAATTAATTTAATCGTAGAAGTGTGTCCCTATCAGACACCTGATTTCTTAAGATGTTTGAAAAAGAGAGAAAGATATTGAAGGATTGTTTTAAAAACGGGGGATTATCAGTCACACTACAAATTTGGGAGAAAATAATTTAAGACTCCTAAAGAATAAAATACACAGTCTCCCCCTCTCATTTCTTTCTACAGCAGTACATATAAAGTACATCATACCAGTGAGCTACTTCTCTAAAGAACACACATCAGTATGCCTCAGCAGTGTGCCTCTATCACATGGTGAGCTGAGCCTTACCTACAGAAACCGGCTAACCAGGAGCTGCTAGACAAAACCATAGCATTTGCTGCTTAGAGCCAATTTCTACCAAGACTGGAAAGAACGATCACCCTCGAATAAATCTCATTTACTTAATGGTACAAGAGACAATGTCCACTAACAGTTACTTACAGATAGTGGATTGAGAGGTGTATGTATTTGTGCTATTCCAGTTACCTAGACACAAAAAACCACAATCCTAGCAGGTACTTGATGTTTCAGCAGGGCAGAAACCACTTGCCTCTAAAACTCTTCCACAGTTATACGTATATGCAAAATGCCAATTATTATGAATAGGTCTGCTCCGCATTTCCTTTTCTGGTGCATTCCTTGTAGTGAAATTCACTGATGTGGTTAGAAAGATTTCTCAAAACTTTACATAGACCCTGGGATGTGTAATAGTGGCTGTATTTTTCTAAGAGTACACAGCTGTGAACAATGTGATCAGCCATACTGTTTTTCACTATGGAAATTCATTTTTTGTTTAGAAATTATAAATAAAACCTTCACATTCCCAAATCACTCACAAAACATGCACACACGCATACAACCAAGGGAGGCATATCCAGAAATATGGGTGAAGAAATCTTAGGGAGAAAGAACATCACTTTTTTTAACTTGCTAGCTACCTGCATTAGTCCCCACATTCTTGGCAGCTGTGCCTACCTTTCCACCTTCCCTCTTGTTAATATGTAGTCCCATGAAAGGCCATTCCACTGACACTCTGTAACCTAACCTCTAATTGTTTCCTTGGTGCAGCTTCAGCAAACACTTTCCCTCTCTGCTGGATCACACCCATCAGCATATTATCATGCTCTTCTATCTTCCAGTTAATTAAAAAAAGAGAGAGAGAGAGAGACACCATTACCCACACGCAAGTTGATCCACAGACCCATTTCTCTGCTCCCCTCATTCTAAAAGCTTGAAAAAATTGCATCTCTAGCTCCACTCCCTCTCCTCCTCTCCAACCAGACTTCCGTCCCTACTGTTCCATTCAAACTGATCTTCTTGAGGTCACCAAAGACCAAGGTCATCTTTCTGTCCCCTTATCCATTCCCCTTAGAGGCCATCAGGAAAGTTCACCATACCCCCTCCTTAATTATGAAATTCTCTCATTTGTTTTATTTCTGTCTTCCCAGACTAGAATGTAAGCTCTCTGAGAACAGAGACCCCACTGAAAGTGTTTACTGATGCATCCTCACCATCTAAAAACCACGACTGATATTAGGCATGTGTTATTTGTTGAATGGTCTTGTAAACAGGAGCAAAGGTGTTCTCAGCTCAGAAAGGGAACACCATTTTTTATAATGAAATACATTTCAACATAAGGGCCGACACGGATTCCAACAAAGAGCTCTCTCAAATGGAACCAGACAGGCAATTTCCTTTTCTCATATCTTATAGCTCAGATACCATAAAGCCTCTACAGCAACTGCCACACAATGAAGTGCATTTAAAAAGGGATAACACAGGGGTGCCTGGCTGGCTCAGTCTCAGAAGCTAGCGATTCTTGATCTCATGGTTGTGAGTTCAAGGCCCATGTTGGGTGTAGACATTGTTTAAATAAATAAAACTTAAAAAGGCGGCGCGGGGGTGGGGGGGTAGTAACAAAGAGGGACAGGTCTATTTCTATATACAACAGAAAGACTATTAGGTCTCTGCCAGGCTGAAAGGTGGAAAGGTACTAAGGATATACCTCCACTTTCTCCTACCTCTTCATCTGGCTAGCTACTTGGCTTTCAGGACTCATGGGAGACTCTCCCAAACCCCATATTCAGCTGCACCTGCCCTTAGCTCCCACATCTCTCAGGCCTCCCTATCCCAGAATAAATTTGGCTGTCATTTATTTCTGGGGTTATGCCATTGTCTCCCTTGACACGCTCTGGGCTCTAGGAAGGAAAGAGCCTGGTGTTGGTCACAGCAGTATCCTAGGCCCACTGCATGGCATAGAAAAGGTACCGTGAATATATGAATGAGGGCGGCCGCCTGTCCCGGGAGTGCTGAGAATCCCACCGTCTGTGACCCCGACACGGAACACAGCCTAGAGGCTAGAGGTCTGGGTTCCCCAGGACGGTTTCTCTCCGACACATGGGCACCGCACCTCGCTCAGAGTAACAAGGGAGGGCCTAAGTTTTTGAGGTAGACACACCCTTGAGAGAGAGGCAGAGCGAACCCTTGATGGGTCTCTATTGGGAGGGCCCGGTGCAGCCGGCGAGCATGCCGCACGGCCAACTTGGAGATTCTCCGGCTGGGGGTATCTCTCCATACCGGTGCAGGGGGACCGAGGGCGGGTCCCCTTTTCGAGGGGATGCCCTTTCGAGGATGTGGCCTGGAGTAGTCCCCTCTAAATTCTAGGAGACAATAGGGCCCCCTTACGCTTAGGGGCGACGGGGGTCGGTGGGACGCTCCGGAACCTCCCCCAAGGCCCAGAGACAACCCCCTCCCGCCCTTCGTTAGGGTCCAGCCAAGCCGTTCCCCTAGGACGCTCCCCGCGGCAGCCCTTACCTGCAGCCGGAGGAGGAGGAGCTACGGCCCGAGCCCCGGCCCGCCCCGCCAGCTCAGCGTCCGCGCCGCAGGCCCGGGGGCCCAGCTCGCCGCCGGGCCGTCCGCCTCCCCTGCACTCGGGACCGAGCCCACCCGCCCGCTAGCTCCGCGGTCGTCGCACACTCCGGCAACCCGAAGTCTGCCCACCGCTCGGACTGCGGGAGCGTGGCGCCGAACAGGCGCCGCCGGGCAGCCCCGCCGCTGGGGTCCTCGCCGAGAAAAGCCTGTCGCCATGGAGACGCGGTGCGCGCCGGCAACGGTCAGGCCGCGGTGGTGCGGTGGAGGGCAGTTTGTTGGGCCGGGCCCCGCGGCTCCCGGCACCCGACAGCACCGACGGCGAACCCTTCACGGGCGCGCGATGCCTCCTCTCGGTCGTCACCACCTCATCCCTCGTGGGTAGTGCGCCGGGCTACAGCCGGCTCCGAAAGCTCAGGTCGCAGAGCGATGGCGCGGGGCGGGGCCTCGGGCCGTTCGGGTCTGTGGGAAACATCCGCTTCCGGGGCCGCGGCCATCGCATTACCCCGCTCAGCGGGCCCACCGAGCTACCCGTGGTATCGGACCCCGGCGCCTACGGTCCCCGAGTCGCTGCTGCTCTCGCCCGGCTGCCAGCCTTCTCAGCCAGTCATGTTGCAGCATCTGAGCTCACTGCCCACGCAAATGGTGAGGGCTCGGCCCCAAGACCCCCGCACGCAGCTCCGCCGCCCTTATCGGAGCACCGACCCTGTGCTGCGCGGTTCCTGGCTCGGATGGCTGCCTTGCAGTCAGTCGCTTTCCTGAATTGTGCTTCCCAGGTCCCCATCTCTCTTCCTCCGGGAGGATCCCCCTGCCTGTGCTCTGTTAGGATGCTTCAGTTTCCTCAGGAAACCCAGAATTTCATTTTTCGCACAGTTTTGGGCCCCTGACGTTGGGGTTGCCCGGTGCCAAAGCTGTGAGGCCAGGGAAGGAACTGTGCCTCTTCCCGTGGTGGAACCAATTTCTGCTTTGCTCTTCTTCACCTCTAGGATTACAAGGGCCAGAAGCTAGCTGAACAGATGTTTCAGGGAATTATTCTTTCTTCTGCAGTAAGTATTGGTTTTGCATAGTATTCGCTTTCTTCTCCCCCTCCCCCAACCAGCTTGACTGTATTTATTTAATACGCTTCGTTTGTTTCCAGATAGTTGGATTTATCTACGGGTACGTGGCTGAACAGTTCGGGTGGACTGTCTATATAGTAATGGCCGGATTTGCTTTTTCGTGTTTGGTAAGTTTGTGGGTGTTTGTATGTTAGTGGCTGTTAAGTTTTCTGAATTGGGTTGGACCTAGGTGTGAGGACCAGACCAACTTTTCGAAACCTCCTTTTGCCATTAGTGTCTCACCTGGCTATCATTGGAAAAATAGAATGCCAAATAAGTGTCAGATAAGTAAGCTGCATAAAAGGACACAGCTCATTTCTTTTGGCAGCTGCTCCAAGCAGTAAAGTCAAAGCTAGCAGGAATTTGCTATGGTCTTCATAATGCTTCCTCCTCACCTTTTAGCTCTTAAAGCCTTATGTGTAAATGGTGAGGCTTGTACCCAATTTTAAAATTATGTTGTCTGGGTAGAGGTATATAGTTTTCATTGGAATGTCAGTTTTGCTGCTGCTGTTTTTACCCTTAGCATAGGAGGTATTTGGGAACCAGAAATTATACGTAATGCTCTTTCAGACTTCTCATGTTTAATATTGATGGCTTTTCTCTGTTCTGGCTCAGTTGACCCTTCCTCCATGGCCCATTTATCGCCGGCACCCCCTCAAGTGGTTACCTGTTCAAGACTCAGGCTCAGAAGACAAGAAACCAGGGGAAAGAAAAATTAAGAGGCATGCTAAAAATAACTAATTAGGGTTTTCATGATTTAGCTTTACTGTTGCACCTGCTTTTGTTTTGTGTGAGGAGCTCAATTGTTTTCATACCCCAAACGAGCTAAAACCCACTGCTGCTCTTTCAGCACAGCTGCGTGTAGATTTTGTTCTTTGTATTTCACTTCTAATTCAGCTGGATTTTGATTTATAAATATTTTAGACCGTCTCTTCATAACCTTCCTTTGAAATGAGAACAGAAAACACAAGTATGCAAAGTTTCTTTCAGGTCTACCAAAATAATGAATAAATGCCTCATAAATGAAAGTACAATTTAACTGTCAAAGTTTTATAATTCACTATCAGTGGTTAAATTGTTTTAATGTTTTCGATTAAAACTCAATGCAAGTCTATGTCTAAAGAGTCTTTTGTTCATTGTTCTCCAAGCAAACCTACGAGTAAAAGCCAAAGTTAGAAGTCTGTGGTTCTGAAAGCATCATCTCTATTTTCTGTAGCTGCGAGTTCCTAAAAGATGTCTTTCTTGACAACAGTAAGCACCTATGAAAAAATTTACTAATGTAAATTTGTGGGAAGATAATATTTTGGTACCACTAAAATAAGGCTTTTGTTAAGCAGAAAAAATGCAATCCATGCTTTACTTGAGGTGGACCAAAGTAGAAACCTATTCTTTTTAAATTGTCCAGAGGGCTGAAGAGAAAAATGTTCTAAAGGTTTGGTGTGTGGGATGAGAGTGGGAGGGTTATCATAGATAATATTCTATTTCTCAGTACCAGTAAATAGGACTTAATAAAATATAAGTTTAAAAATGAGAGCAAAGACCTTAATATGGCAAAAATCAGAAAGGTTTAAAAAAAAAAATTAAGACAGCAGAAACAAGACCGAGCATATCAAGAGTAATAAATGTGATTAAAAAGGAACTCCCAAAAAGTGTTAAACATCAAGTTACCTCATATTTTCACGATGACACCCAAGGTGAAAATAGGAACAAGGTATTAGGCAGATGCAGGCAGAAAGGAGGGGTAATAGAAAGCCAGATACTTAATCAGAAAGCATTAAATGGAGAAAAAGAACATTTCATAGCTGCTAAGATGTCACTGTTAATAATTATGTATTAAATATGACATGAAATGTATAGAGATTGTTACATAAGAGTTTGGCAAAGCTACATTCTTGGTAGGAGACTAACACCGCCTTTCAGATTTTGGTAGATCAAGTGGACAGGTGATCAAAAGGAAGACTTTGGCACTTGTTCTCTGTACTTCAAACATCTTCTCTCAGATATACATGACTTGTTCTTTCCTTTCACTCAGGTCTCTACTCAGATGTGACTATAAAGAAGCATCTCCTGACCTATCAAAGTAAAGTGGTATGCCTCATTTTATATGCACTAATATATCCCACATTATATCTTTTTTCCTTGGCCCCACCCAGAATGTAAGCTTCCTGGGAACAGGGATCTTGTTGAGCTCTTTGCTGTTTGTGTAGTACCTGTAAGTTTGTGACACTTTGTAGGTGCTCAATAAATAGTGAATAATTCAGAGCTGCACTATCCAATATGGTGCCATTAGTCACATGTGTCTATTTAAATTAAAACTAGGGGCGCCTGAGTGGCCCAATTAAGTGACTGCCTTTGGCTCAGGTCATGGTCCCAGGGTCCTGGGATCGAGCCCCACGTCAGGGTCCCTGCTGGGTGGGAAGCCTGCTTCTGCCTCTCCCACTCCCCCTGCTTGTGTTCCCTCTCTATGTCTCTGTCAAATAAAATCTTTTAAAAAACTTTATAAAAAATTAAAACTAAAAGATTGAGTTCCTCAAACTAGGCACATTTTGAGAGCTCAAAAGCCATATATGACCAGTGGCTGCCTTAACACATTGCATGTATCTGAACATTTCCATCATCACAATACTCTGTTGATCAGGTCTTATACATAGGTTTGAATAATAAATAAAGGGAAGTGATTCTGTCTGTGCATAACAGAATTCATCTTATTAAATGCCCATAGGGTCATTTCAATAATGGATCATCTACTGAGCCACAGGGAAAACAATTCCAAGAAATAAAAGTTGGGCAGGTCATATTCAGTAACAACACTGCAATGTAGCTGGAGCAAGAAGATACAATTTTCTTGGCTTTTGAAATACAGGTATCCTGCTTTCCAAAAGTTCATTTCATGTCACTTTGCTTTTACAAAAGGCTTACATTTCTACAGTAATGGCTTTTTTCATAAAAGCGAAAATCCTCTTTAGATTTTTTGAGTTAGCAAAAACAGGTACTACTGTAGGTCTTTCATAAAAGCGAAGTGGCGTGTCACGAACTTTCAGAAAGTGGGGGATACTCTTTGCTTTTCACCATTTCAGCTTACCAGAGGTTTCATAGGAATGCTCTACTTTCAGATAGCAAGGGAACCTTGTATATGGAAATTAAGGAACACTACCTTTTTTTTTTAAGATTTATTTGTTAGCACGCACAAGAATGGGGAGCAGCAGGCAGGGGGAGAAGCAGGCTCCCACTGAGCAAGGAGTCCGATGTGGGGCTCAATCCCAGGACCCTGGGATCATGACCTGAGCCAAAGGCAGATGGTTAACTGAGCGACTGAGGTGTCCCTAAGGAACACTTCTTAAAGAGAAAACCAAAACCAGAATTATTGACTATTTAAGATTTAATGTCAAAATAATATCAAAATCTGAAATGTGGCCAAAGGTATACTGAGAAGAAAATTCATCCTGTTAAAGGTGTTTTATAATTATATAAGAAAGATTAAAAATGATTAAGCCGTCAGGAAAGAAAAACCACAGAATGACCAAAAGATATTGGGATGAAAACTGAATGAATGTTTAAGCAAAACAAAAATATGCAGAATGGGAATAACGTATGGGGGAGAATTTTTAAATTCTAAGAAAATAATATGTACATATGGCAATTAGTAAGAAACTTAAGTAAAACTGATGTCTCTCCAGAAAGATGTAGATTCGTAAAACATGCAAGAAATGGTGAATAGTTGAGGAAAACCCAGTTTGCCAAAGATTTGTCCCCAAATGGGACTGAGACTAGGTGGTTTTACTGCTGAGTTCTAACAAACCCTTCAAAGTAAAACTAAGAGGTCTCAGAAACCAGACTATGAGCACTGTAAGAGCAAGGAGTATTGTGTTTTACTCACTATATCTGCAGCTCCTGACCTACAGCACCTGGCACACAGTAAAAACTAAAAGTCCGTTAAGTGACTGGAAAGGGAACATTTTGTTAGAATATTTTATGTGTAATTTTCAAAGAAGGTCAGGTAACATTTTTAATTAGAAAAATGAAAACATTTCTGGAGCAGTATTCATTTTTAAATAAAGTCCCTTGAATATAGAAGTGAAAATTTACCTATCAAGACTTTTATAAAAACAATTTATTTCCCACATGGGAATTACCCCCTTATTAAACAACTAATAAAATATGTGATACATAGTCATACATTTAAAGACAACCAATAATTTGATGTACATATTCAGGAGATAAATATGTCCAACATAACTAAAAGGAGCTGGACTTCACTTACAAATTGCTTAATTGGAAAGGGAATTAGTGTTTTAGGAAATGTTTTTGCCAATGAAAATATTACTCTTAAAAAAAGACCAGTATACAAAAACGTTGATTGACAAAGCCAAAATATTTCTGTTTCAATTCTTATATACCGTAAATGAGGTTCATATTAAATGAAAATAAAAGGCTAAACATCCATCAATATATAAAAAAGGAATTCAGTTGCTCAAATAGTAGATACAACTTCATATTCAAATCTACTCCCAGAATCATGAATTGACTTTTTAAAAAAATAATTTATCAACTACTACCTAAAGTTATTAACAATGACAACTAGTATCACTATGGCATGTTATTTACTTCTCCTATGCATTTATCACTATAGTACAATATAAAACTTCCAATCTAATTTTATGGCCCTGTAATCAAGCTAATTAGTATCTTAAAAATAAAGTTCTAAATATAAAACTGGTGGTTTAAGGCTCAGTAAACAGTAACCAGACATCTTCTAATAGCTTTTCTTCATCAAGAGAGTAAGCTAGCCAAAGGTTTTTTCTTTCTTTTGTGACATTGCTTCATGTTACTCTGTTCGAGCCCACTTTTCTCCCAGTTAAAAAAAAAAAAAAGAGAAGGATGGTGATGGCCTCCAATCATTATTATGGAGTTATTTGTTTAAGCCAAAAACCTTTAAAAATAGGTCTCTAGTACTGGCAGATTAAATTCTCAAAAATTCACATTTTCTTCAAAAAATTTCAACTGGCGAGCTTTCACACTGTAAGCTGTGTATTTTTCACCCATGTGCTCCTGCAAACGTACCTATTTGGGAAATACAAAAAGAAAATCAGTATGTAGTAGAAGAAAACATTTCTGTAATCTTAGAAGAACTTTTCTGGGGCGCCTGGGTGGCTCAGTCGTTAAGCGTCTGCCTTTGGCTCAGGTCATGACCCCAGGGTCCTGGGATCGAGCCCCACATCGGGCTCTCTGCTCAGCGGGAAGCCTGCTTCTCTCTCTCCCACTCCCCCTGCTTGTGTTCCCTCTCTCGCTGTGTCTCTCTGTTAAATAAATAAAATCTTAAAAAAAAAAAATTTTTTTTTTCAAAAAAAAAGATGGGCTTTTCTAAGCATGACACCAGAGGTAGAAGTCATATGGGAAAATACTATCATTTTTTAAAAAATTTAAGTTTCAAGTTACCAAAAACTAAAGTCCTAAGAAATTAAGAACAAATACTACACTGGGGAAAATTTGCAACATACATGCCCAAGAATTAATATCATTAATACAAAGAGCTCTTAGTAAAACACAACAATATTAGAATATTAGAATTGATAAAATCAATCCCATAGATAATTCAGCAAAGGCATTTATAAAAATGCAAATAACATAAAAATTTCAATTTAATAATCAAAAAATATACCATGTAATACTCAATATATGCCTGGAATTAAAATAACACCTAATGTGTTAAACAGATAACACGCACCTCCTGATCCACTGCACAGAGAAGGACACAGTATCACTTTTGTGGTATTCCTGCTGTAAATGCATAATCTGAATCTGTTCATGAGGAAACATCAAACAAATCCAAACCGAGGGTCATTTTATAAAACACATGCCTATAGTCTTCAAAAATGTCCTAACTGTCCCAGGTTAAATGAGACATAAACATAATATGTAATCCCAATTAGTTCTACATCTACCAATGATAGCTTGAGGAGCTCTGAAGATCCCTCCTCAGTGAAACTGGTGAAAATTTTTATTTATTTATTTATTTTTTGAGAGAGAGAGTGCAAGTCGGGGTGGGGGGAGAAGGAGAGAGAATCTCAAGCAGACTCCCCGCTGTGTGCGGAGTTTAACACGGGGCTCAATCTCATGACCCTGAGATCATGACCTGAGCTGAAACCAAGAGTCAGATGCCCAATTGACTGAGCTACCCAGGCACCCCAGGTGAAAATCATTTTTAAAACTTACCATTTAAAGTCTCTGGGGAAGTGGTCCTGAGAGCGTACAGTATCAAATAAAGACACTTTGTTCCCCCAAAGAAAATCTACTAAAACCCACTAAGAACAGTGAGAGTGGGTGGTATTTTAACTAAGACCAACTGCCTCCCTCCCTAGACCCAGCTCAGTGAGACGAAAAGTCTATACCAGACTGAAGCCGACAACACAGGCTCCCTTTCCACCAGCTCCTAGTGGAAAGGCAATCTTCCTGGGAAGGGCAGAATATCAGCATATCTCATCCTGCCCCCAATATCTGTTGTTAAGGATAAGTTTTGAGAGAGTACATCCAAGAGGTGGGAACTTCCTTTTTACACCAGGTTGGACTTATAAGATGGAGGCTGTACCTTGGGAGCCGGGCCAGTGAAAATACTGGGGCCCCAGTCACCTTTGCCCCAGACCATAATGTGAAGATTCCATGCTGGGTGAAGTATGCCAAGAAGATGAGAGGCCCTTCACCTGCACAGAGCTTCTAAAGTAGGGCTATCACCCAGACAAGTATACTATTGTCTTCACTCCCAGCTGTGCTCAGAGATTTTGCCTTGGGCGAGAAGCAAGACCTAAAACAGCACCAAATCTTTTCCTTAATGAACTGACCTCGTTTAGAACAGAGTGGAGAAGGGCACCTGGTGGCTCAGTCATTAAGCGTCTGCCTTCGGCTCAGGTCATGATCCCAGGGTCCTGGGATCAAGCCCCGCATCAGGCTCCCTGCTCAGCAGAAGGCCTGCTTCTCCCTCTCCCTCTGCCTCCTGCTCTGCCTATCTGTGCTCTCTCTCTGTGTCTCTGTCAAATCAATAAAATCTTAAAAAAAAGAACACAGTGGAGAAATTCAAGCCTACAAGTGCTCTCAAAAACGGGAAGTAGTGGTGAATGGCAACTAGGAGACTGATAAATTCACTGGATATACAGGCTAAACTATGGGCCACCTACTTTGATGGAGACAACTAAGAAGTTGGGATGAGCCCCCGGGGTCAAAACAGATTCCAAACACTGACCCTGGGACCCATCCGTTCAAAGGAGCCGTAATTTTATTGGATCAGTCTGTGGAGCAATGTATGCCCCAAGACATTGTTGGAAACGAGAGCCATCAACTGGCAACTAAAAAAACCTTAACAACTACTTGGGCAAGGGAGAGTCAAAAGAGTTCTGCCAAAGCCAGTCATTCCAAGGTGGCTATGGACACAACCAAGGCCTCGCCAGCTAAGAGGCAACATCAGACTTACATTGTGGGGACAGGAAGAAGGGATAAAAGAGACATCACTAAAAAATCCAGCCAATCACTAAAGAAGCAAGTAACAATAGCAACCCCCCTCCCTGGGGAGGCCAGTACCCAGACTTGTAACAATATATTTTCTTTCTGAAATGTCCAGTTTTCAATCAATAGCTATGAGATACACAAAGAAACAGGAGAGTATGACACATACACTGGGGAAAAAAGGCAGGCAAGAGAGGTACTACCTGTGAGGGTAACGAGATGCTGGAGTTAACAGGCAAAGACATCACTATAAACCCATTCACAGAACTAAAGAAAACCATAATTAAGTAAAGGAAGGTATGATGTCAATGTCACATCAAACTGAGAATACTGATATAAAGAAATTATAAGAAAAACTAAATGGAAATTGTGGAGTGGAAAAGTACAATAACAAATGAAAAATTCACCAGAGGGGCTCAGCAGTATACTTGAACTGGCAGAAAGAAAAGTAAGTGGGCTGGGGAGAGATCAATAAAGATTATGTAATCCAAGAAACAGAAAAGAAAATGAAGAAAAGTGAACACAGCCTCAGAAATGTGGGACATCGGGCGCCTGGGTGGCTCAGTTGGTTAAGCGACTGCCTTCAGCTCAGGTCATGATCCTGGAGTCCCGGGATCGAGTCCCACATCGGGCTCCCTGCTCAGCAGGGAGTCTGCTTCTCCCTCTGACCCTCTTCCCTCTCGTGCTCTCTATCTCTCATTCTCTCTCTCTCTCAAATAAATAAATAAAATCTTTAAAAAAAAAAAATGTGGGACATCATTAGGGCGCCTGGTGGCTCAGTCAGTTAGGCATCTGACTCTTGATTTTGACTCAGGTCGTGATCTCTGGGTTGTGAGACTGAGCCCTATGTCAGGCTCCCTGCTCAGTGGGGAGTCTGCTTCTCTCTCTCTCTCCCTCTCCCTCTGCTCCTACACCAGCTCATGTGCTCTAAAATAAAAGCTTAAAAAAAAATGTGGGACATCATTACACACACCAACTACAAATGTAAAGGGACCATCAGAAGGAGAAGGAGCAGAAAAACTATTTAAAGAAATAATAGCTGACAACTTCCAAATGTATTGAAAAACATTAATCTACACATCCAGGAATCTCAAAGAACTCCAAGCAGGATCAACTCAAAGAAATGCACACACAGATACATGAAAGTAAGTGCTGAAAGCCAAAGGCAAAGAGACAGTCATGAAAGCAGCAAGAGAAAAATGACACCGCTTACAAGGGAACAGTAATAACATCAACAGCTAACGTAAACAAAGGAGGCCATGGGATAATATATTCAGAGTACTTGAGGAAAAAAACTGTCAAACAAGAATCCCACTGCTAGTAAAACTACCTTTCAAAAATAAAGGTGAAGTAAAGACATTCCCAGATAAACAAAAACAGAATCTGTGCCTAGCAGACCACTTTATAAGAACTACTAAAGGAAGTTCATCAAGCTGAAAGTAAGAAACCCCAGGCAACAATTAAAATTTACATGGAAACACAAAAAGCACTACTTTGGGGGGGGGCGCGGTTATGGAGAGGACGTTAGCTCTGGTTCACCTGTGAGCCTGACCCTAGCAACTGGAGGTTCCCTATCCCCTCCTGTCCTTGGAACTGCATTCCATTTGCCTTCCCCACTCCCAAAGGATGCCCTAAGGACAAAACCTTCAGATTATGATGTGGTGTTGAGACCGTCTGGACAGTACATGTGATTGAACCCAATTAATATAATACATACTATATATATATATAACATGAACTTTTGAGATTTGGCAGGTGGGTGTGGAGATCTACTCATCTTGTGGCTGCCTATGACAGGCCTCATATGTAAGTTCCCTTGCTTATTAAAACTACCACCTACCAATCTGGAGTGCTTGACTCTTCCTTCCCTCTCTCCCTGCCCTCCTGTTCCTACAGGCGCCAGTTTCAGATTACACCTGAGAGTAATTCATGCAAATAAAACAACATAAAAGCATAGTTTCTCCTTTTAAAAAAAAAAAAAAATTTAAGTAATCTCTATACTCAATGGGGGGCTCGAACTCCTGACACTGAGATCAAGAGTCACATACTCTTCTGACTCAGCCAGCCAGGTGCCCCTTCTCTGATTTTAAAAGTAAATGGGGTGCCTGGGTGGCTCAGTCATTAAGTGTCTGCCTTCGGCTCAGGTCATGATCCCAGGGTCCTGGGATCGAGCCCCACATCGGGCTCCCTGCTCAGCGGGAAGCCTGCTTCAGGAGCCCGCTTCTCCCTCTCCCACTCCCCCTGCTTGTGTTCTCTCTCTCAGTCTCTCTCTCTCTCAAATAAAAAAATAAAATCTTAAAAAAAAAAGTAAATACACAATACAGTATGTATGAAAGATGACAGAAAGGACCAGGACTACATCTCCTCACATGGACAAAAACTGTGCTGGCTGAATGCCTGATGTAACTCTTTCAGGACTCTGCAGTCTATTGAAGGCTTGCAACTTCCCAGGGAAGGCTTGGAGGGTAAACTGTGGTTAATTTCAGTCAATTTCAGTTTCTAGCACCGGCCCCCTCCCCCAGCTGTGCAGATGTTCTGGAGCAGCCTGCACACAGCTTGTGGAGCCA